TTTAGTTTCAGGGCAGGAGTATGCGAGACCTAGTCCTGCGGCACCACTTGATACATATTCTTAAATTTCACACATGTCTGAGGCCAGACTGTGTGCCAAACAAATCGTGATACAATAATCTTTATGAAAAAGCAAAACGTTCCACGATCTGCATGTGGGGTGGATACTGTCAGGTTGCCCAGGACAAGGCAGGTGAATTTTCTCGAGGAATCCACAACCGGAGAGTTTGGTTAGTCAAAGCCCGACCCGCAAGACAGAAGGGATGTGTGCGAAAACCGCAATCCATTGGGGGACGGTGTCCAGTTCATCGGATCGTAAGCCCCTTCGGACGGGTCGAACGTCCAAGGTACCCAATATACCTTGATGTCCAATCGAGCCGGTGACCACTGCCACAACCGAAAAGGTGTGGTTCGTACGCCTCCTCATGGTTGGTTTGGAATCAGGGGTTTTGGCCAACTCCCCTATATGAACTACCAGTGGCCCTCCAACCCGGTTATAGCCCCAGATGTCTCGACTTTTCGTCCTCTCACTTTGGTGGGAAACTCCACCACAGAAAGGCAGTGAGTATGGCTTCCTCTGCAGAGGCTATTTGAGACGCTTGGTCGTATGGGAGCATTTCGCGAGGTGCAAGGGTAGTGACCAACTCTAGAAACCCACCCCCAACCATACTGAGGAGTTTACACTTTGAAGGTGCAACGAGTCCACGGTTGAATGCCTTCTGAAAGCCTATTCTAGACGGATGAGTTACAATTATGAGTGGTGGCACAGTGGTTTAGTCGCTGTCACCGGTGTGCTCCGGACCCTATGGTCCGAGATTCGAGCCCCGCCACCGTCACCCGACTTTGGTGGTAGGCAGCTCTGCTGTCGCCCGGTTCAATACCACGCCTAACCTATCGGGGTCTTATGTGGTTGGCCACTCCAAGTTCCGGGGCTTAGGTTGCCGATTTCAACCACTTAACAGCAGCTCCTCGTGACTATGGGGGTTTACCCCGTCTGCTGTTCATCACACCTAGGTGTGTAATAAAAAAAATCTTGTGCTTGTTGGAATTATAATGACTGGTTCCAAATCAAACGTCTTGTACTCACGAAACATTTACCAATACCCTTCGTAATAAACGACCCTCCTAGTCCCGGCACCGTCTTGTGGATTTATAACACTAGTTGTCACGATTTCTTATTTTCACTTCTTTGGCGAGCTGGGTAGTTTGCCAGCGAACACTCATTACCAAAGACAATTTTATGCCACTAGGATGGAATACTTTATTGAAGCGTAAACAAGGCTATTGATGGGTTGAGAGAGAATAAAGCAATCCAATTAAATGACCGAGAAACAATCAGTATATCGACCGTTTATTGGGGTTCCTCGTGAAGGTCATAACTCGCAATCTATGGCAATTGTCACTCCATCATTGACCAACCAAGCAAAACCTTTTCCGAATATTTCTATACAAAACAATCAGAACACAATAAAAGAGAAATACAGCAACAAGCAAGTTCATTTGAGGTTATTCATCTGTCATCAACATCATCGTACAGCGAAATACAGTGAAGCGAACTTCACTGATCGCTGCCAAACTAGCAATGCATGCAAGATTAGTGGTAAAATTTAAGGTAGACAGGGATTGGAACTATTTTCAGGGAGGAAGAAAAAGGCAAACCACTATGGTCAACACAGAGTGCACGATCGAACTATGCATACATACATGCATACTGATAAGAAATGACAACAAGAACGCACTGGTTTGTGCCAAGTTGTCTATGCGATTTGGTGGCCACAAAAAGATGCGATGCAACCGAGTTACGAGAACCGATTTTCAATATTTTGTCAAGAACGCCACTGCTGTCGGTTCGCTGCCATATCCTTCTGTCTCCAACCAACCGGTTGGGGAGTCAATCGGACCCCAACCTGGTTTTACTAGCCCTCTCGGTCGTCTTCCAAACTCGTTATGAGTGCACGCTTCAGCGAGAGACGCTGTTCATTGTACTCACGGGCTGCTGGGATTGCCCAAAGTGCGTCAAGAAGTCTGAGAGGGTTGGAGAAGAACCAGTGATTTACAACTCGGCGGGTTAGGCCAAAACTGTGTAAACTGGCTGAGTGAATTGCGTTTTGAATGGTTGTTCAGTGTTGATCTCCGCTTCTTGGCGGGTTAGTAGTTATCCTTGCAAACAACTCGTTTTGGTAGTCGGCCAGCACGGTCAAGTCAGAAAGCTTGGCGACGTCAAGCTGTTTGCATCGCATCTTTTTGTGGCCACCAAATCGCATAGACAACTTGGCACAAACCAGTGCGTTCTTGTTGTCATTTCTTATCAGTATGCATGTATGTATGCATAGTTCGATCGTGCACTCTGTGTTGACCATAGTGGTTTGCCTTTTTCTTCCTCCCTGAAAATAGTTCCAATCCCTGTCTACCTTAAATTTTACCACTGATCTTGTATGCATTACTAGTTTGGCAGCGATCAGTGAAGTTCGCTTCACTGTATTTTACTGTACGATGATGATGATGAACCAATGCCCTCGACGAACTTCGGGCTCGGTACCACAAGAAAAGTTCGTTGCTGAGTGCATGGAAAATCTAATTTGATTCCACGTTTGGTCTACTCCACCATGTCGCGGCTCTCCTAGCTCCTGTCCCAGCTTTTCCCCATAAAGTGCGCATACATATGGTTCGCGCAGACGATGACGAGCTAACTGAGGAGGCAATTTTGGCCGACGACCGATGAGTCGGAAAGTGAAGCGCCACAGAACTAGAACATGATCCGACTCA